ACCTAATGGATAATTAAGGGAGAATAATTTCTCCCTCTGAATTGTGGCAGCAAACCTTTCCTAAACAATGGGTAAGCCCATGTGGTCCACACTTATATGCACACCAACACTTTCAAATTTATTTTCCCTCCAAAAAAAACTTAACAAAAATATTAGAAATTTCAAATTTACCAGAAATTATGTATCTCAGCCATGGCGAGAAGAAAAGAGGAGAAAAATATGAAGGTCAAAACACAGCAAGGTCTGACGGAAACCAAAATGAGAAATAGTACAAATTGTACCAAAGAGAGTTTTTGGCGCAACTCACAGAGTAAGCCATTCGAGATCATGCTCTAAAAGAGAGTTTTTGGTAGCCTAATTTTAATAAGATTTATGGCTAGAATTAACATAAATCCGGCAATAAAATGAGAAGCTAAATCTGGTGCTCCGATAAATCCATTTTTTTCTCTGTTTTGACATAAATCCAATATGATTATTAGGTGGATTTAACGGATTTAACTTAGGAAGAAAAACACACCTGTGCGGTTCTCATTGTTGCTTCCCTCATCACACTATCCCAAAGGGAGAATCAGATTGTTCTGGTTTTGCTGAATCTGAGGAAGAAGAAGATTATACGGTGGGCAAACAGTTCTCAGTGCCACTGTGGAGTTAGGAATGTGAGTTAAAGCAGCCAACCATATCATGAGATATTGTGCCAGCATGGCAGGTGGGAGCCAATAGGAGCCTCGAGGAACTATATTATAAGACTGTTGAGGTCCAAGAAAGGGATGCAAGTTGCAGTAGATTTTATGTCCTTGCAATACTTAATTTTTAATCATTATAAAATTTTCAAATTTATTGTGGTACGAGCCTAGTTTTTCATATTTAAATTTTATGAAAACCAGATGTAGTTAAATCTTGAAATAGCACGCCAAATATATCAAATGATTTCAATTTGATTTAATCTGAACTGAACCAAACCAAACGCTATTCAGAATTTAATAGCATGTGGATTTCATAAATCGTATTCACTAAAGGCTATTTAAGTTAAATCAGTTTCAAAGTTTATGATGCCAACATGATTCCATTGTCAGCACATCCGAGGCCACATATGTGGTTCACATGTTATCAAAAATCAATTCAAGAATTCATTAACTACTTAGAAATAGTAAAATGGTTTTGTAATTTCAATTAAACCGTTCACAAAAAATAATTTAGTTGAGTTGAAAGTATGAGAAAGTAAATCTAATTTAAAAAAAACAGTTTTTAGATTTGACAAATAGGCGGACGGAGGGAGGGAGAATACGTGAAACTCGAATTGATAGAAAATAAATCCTCATAAAAATAACAAGGTGGGTTTAAATGTCGACCATCTGATGATCCGATTAGGAGAGTAGATGTTTTAGATTCGACTTATGTTAAGAAAGGCAAAGGTAGTTCTAGGAAGATTTGAGCTTATTTGATAAAAAATGATCTTAATTTATTAGAATTAATGAAAATATGACACTAAATAGAACGCAATGGAGACGAAGGATTCATGTAGCTAACCCCACGTAGTGCGATTAGGCTGTGTTGTGCTGTTGTTGTTGTTGTAAAAATAACAAAGTGGGTAATAAACCA